TAGTATCATCATAAAGCAAAGGCATGGATTGGGAGGAAGGAAGGCTGAGACGAAAGTGGAAAGTGAAAGAACTTCCAAAGCCTGGTCTGAGCAAAGCCTTTGTGCTACCATTTGTTGAGGAGTGTGAACTGCACTGCCATGCTTGTGTGTGCTTATAGAGCTCTTGCTTTGGTAGTGTCTATCTTTCGCTTCTCTCCACAGAGGAGAGAGGGTTGGGCGGAAAAAGACAATGAGAGGAGTGTTCCTGAGGGTGATCTGAACTTACATCCCTTCTGTTGTGTTTGGTTGCAGATATGGATGAGCACCTACGAGGCTTTTGATAATTTCGAGAGGTATTGCTTGGACTTATTTTCCGGTCCACCCAACCCTCCTTAGTTACAGTGTCTTCTAATGTTGGCGTCACCCCTGTCCCACTCCCAGCTTCCGAGCATCCTTTTGTGCTGCAATTTGAAGTTGAATTTGAAAAGGCAAATGTGAACCATAAGCTGGAAATTGGCTTGGGGCCATGCTGTTTCATGTAACTTCTATGGACTCAACATGAGATTGAACCGGGACAGTCTTCCCAAGATGCATTTGACTGATGGATATGGACTCGCCACCTTGTCCAAGGTTAGCGATACCGGGTGGGCTGTGCAGTGGTGTTACCAGTGACCCGCGCGGCGGTTGGCGACGGGAATTTTTTGGCGCACGTTGGAACATAGCAGCACTACTCGTGCGACGTAGCTTAGGGTGTACACACACTAGGGCTTTTCGACCCTGGACGTGGCCATCGTCAGATACATTTAGGAAAGTGCCAGTGTGAGTATGCCCACGCACCTGGCGTCATTTCTTTTTTTTTTGGTTATTTTCTGCCTCGGTCACCCACGGCCTGTTGAAATACAGACTGAAGTTCAAATCCAGGTGCAATCAGGCCACAATGCTAGGACTTTTTCAACACATTTTGAATCCTTCTCCGGCCTCACTCCACCACACAACACTCTACATGCATTTGGAAACTTTCTGGACCAGGTGCATCCAGTCGAATCCAACATTTTGAATCTA